CTGACTATCCTGTGGGCAGTCGGGGTGGAAATGTCCCTTATGCTGTGTGAGAAGATCCAGCTGAGAGAGCTGTTTACTCGGTGCTTTGTGCTGAACTGTTTGACTGGAGCTGTGTGTTGGATATTGAGTGTGTTTATTGGAAGCATTTCCCTTCTGATTTCCAGGCTGTGTTTTGTTGATGGCTCATTCCTGAATATGAGAAGGTGAGGTGTCATTATCTGGGAGGTGCAGAGTGACTGAGGATTCTCACTGATTTCCTGGTGTTGAGTGGTGTGTGTTGGGAGCTGGTTATTAATTATCCCGTGGAATATAATTTATACAGTTTCTCTGATCAAAGGTTGCCCTATCAGAACACTGACAGAGAGCTGCCTCTTCAGAGAAACAGTACATCGACTCAGGCTGTGACACTTCGTGTCTCTAATATATCCCAGTATTCAGTGAGATCATGGTGCATCTGTGATATAACTCCGTATTCCTGCCCTTTACCAATATCCCTTTAAACTTTCAGTGAACAATAAAAGAATGAATCTCACATTTAAAAATCATTATTAGTCACCTGCAGAGTCATAACTTGACTCCTCTCCAGGGCAGGTGGAATATGAATCTGGACCTTCTGGCTCAGAGCAGGGACACTACCCATTTGCCTCCAGACGTCTATTTCATTTCAGATTGGATGTCAGCATTTAATTTAGCATCAATTGTGGTTCGTGAAAGAGAGGTCCAATCATCTCCCACGTTTTGCGTGTATTGTGTTTCCTCATTTCACTCCCAAAATATCTGCCTCTAATTTTTAGATAATGCTCCCGGTCCTAGACTCCACAACCGGTGAAAATACTTTCTCTCCATTCAACAGATCTCCAACTCTTAATATTTCAAAATCTTTGATCAGATCATCCCTAAGCTTCTAAACCCTATGAAATATAATGCTAGTTTGTTTAATCTCTCCTCGTAATGTAACCTTTGCAGTCCAGAGATCATTTTAGAAAACAGGTTTTTTTCCGAGTGGCACAGCGACTTGTGCAGTACGGAAGGGATCAGTGCTTGGACCCCATCTGTTCACAATATAAATTAATGATTTTGATGAGGGAACTAAATGAAATATCTCCAAGTTTGCAGATGATCAAAGCTGGGTGGAAGGGTGATCTGTGAGGAAGATGCAGAATTCCTTGAAAGAAGAGGCGCAGGTAGATAAGATAGTAAAGAAGGCATTTGATATGCTTGCCTTTATTGGTCAGTGCATTGAGTATAGGAATTGGGAGGTCATGTTGCAGCTGTACAGGACATTGGTTGGGCCACTGTTGTAATACTGCGTGCAATTCTGGTCTCCCTGCTGTAGAAAGGATGTTGTGAAACTTGCAAGGGTTCAGAAAAGATTTACAAGGATGTTCCCAGGGTTGGAGGGTTTGAGCTACAGGGAGAGGCTGAATAGAGTGGGGCTATTTTTCCCTGGAGCATTAGAGGCTGAGGGGTGAACTTGTCGAGGTTTATAAAATAATGAGGGGCATGGATAGAGTAAATAGACAAGGTCTTTTCCCTGGGGTTGTGGAGTCCAAAACTAAAGGGCATGGGTTTAATGTGAGAGGGGAAAGATATAAAAGGGATCTAAAGGGCGACCTGTTCACACAGAAGGTGGTGCGTGTATGGAATGAGCTGCCAGAGGAAGTGGTGGAGGTTGGTGCAATTACAACATTTAAAAGGCACCTGAATGGGTATATGAATAGGAAGGGTTTAGAGGGATATGGGCTAAATGGTGGCAAATGGGACCAGATTAATTTAGGATATCTGGTCAGCATGGATGAGTTGGACCGAAGGGTCTGTTTCTGTGCTGCATATCTCTATAACTCTAAATGCTTCAGTTTGATTTGGACAAGTTGAATGAGTGGGCAATGCTTGGCAGATTAAGTATAAATTGGGGATAAATGAGAAGTTATCCACTTTGGGAACAAAAATAGGAAGACAGATTATTATCTGAATGGCAATAGGTTGGGAAAGGAGAGATGCAATGAGACCTGGACGTCCTTGTATAACAGTCACTGAAAGTAAACCTTGAGGTGCAGCAGGTGGTGAAGGCAAATGGTGTGTCGAGAGTGAGAGGATTTGAGTGCAGGAGCAGGAATGTCTTATTGCAATTGTACAGGGTCTTGGTGAGACCATACCTCGAGTATTGTGTGCAGTTTTGTTCTCTTTATCTGAAGAAGGATGTTCTGGCAAGGGAGACAGTGGTAAACAAAGTTTTACCAGACTGATTCCTGGGAATTGGCAGGACTGACATATGAAGAGAGACTGGATTGGTCAGGACTATATTCATTAGTTTATAGAAGAATGAGGGGGATTTCAAAGAGACCTATAAAATTCTCACATTTCTAGACAGGATAAATGTAGGAAGGATATTCCCAATGACCAGGGAGTTCAGAACCAAGGGTCACAATCTTAGAATATAAGGTCAGCCATTTAGGATGGAGATAAGGAGAAATTTCTTCACCCAAACAGTGATGAGAATGTGGAATTCTCTGCCACAGAAAGTGGTTGAGGCCAAAACATTGAATGTTTTCAAGAAGAAGGAATTAGACATCATTCTTGGGGCTAAAGGGATCAAAGGGTATGGGGGAAAGCGGAGACAGGATACTGAGTTTGTTGATCAGCCACGATCATGTTGAATAACGGATCTAGCTCAAAGGGCTGAATAGCTGACTCCCCGTATTTCCTGTGTTTCAATCTTTCCATGTGGCAAACTGTGGCAGTAACTGCCCAATCTTAATTAATACATTCCATACATTCATGTAATATAGTTTAAATCTGACTTAGACTTCATTATTTTCTCCCTTACTCCAACTCCCTAATAACTTATGACAGTCTGTTTTACTGCCTCCCTCAGCATTTTGTGAATCCTGTTTTTACTTCCTGATACTCTCTCCTGGTTCCCATGCACTTGTGGAGTGAGTTTCAAGCTTTCCCAACAGCAGGATCAAAATACAGAACAAGGAGCTCAGTCCCAGCTGTGTTCCGGTGTAACCTGTCTATCTTAACCAGGTACCATCTTCTCCAGATCCAGTCCCAGAAATCTAATACCTCTCTCTTGCACCATCGTTCCATCCACATATTTGTCTCCCTTACTGTCCTATTTCTGTACTCACAGATGGCACTGAGAGTAATCTGGAGATTAAATTTGAGGTCCTTCCTGGCTAACTTACTACCTAGCTCCGTAAATTCTGATTACAGACCCACATCCCCCTTCCTATCTAAGACTTGATACCAATAAGGGCCATGATCTCTGGCTGTTCACCCTCTCCCTAAAGAATCTGCTCTGTGACATCCTTGACTGTGGCATCGGGGAGACAACAATCCATTCTGGTGTCGCCTTGACAGCTACAGAAATGCCTGTCTGATTCCCTACCCTGGAATTCCCTGGCAGTGCTAGCCTTCCATCTTTCTCCTCCACCGCTATACAACTGAGCCTCCCAAAGTGCCTTGGGCTTGGCTCTTGCTGTCTGCCACTCCCCACCCACCCCCCCCCCCCCCCCCACCACCACCACTGCAGCCAAGATCCATCTCCGTCACCAAATGGAAAACTGATTATTGTGTGGGACCTCTGGGGATTCCTACACTCCTTGCCTTGCTTCACAAGAACTGCATGGCACTCAGTCCTTCCCTGTTTGCCTGCTTGCCCCTAAATTGCAATGTGAGTTCTTCTCTGAACTTGGTATCTGTCTCGTCTTGCCCTCATGGATGCACATTAGTGACTCCACCTCTGCTCCAGCTTTGAAATCCGGAGCTCAGGCTTGTGCAGCTGGTGACACACTTCCTGCAAATGGGCTCATTGGAGTCATGAGAAATGTCCATGACTCCCCACATGGCTAAGGACAAGTATTCCACTTGTTTCAGCCGCCCTTCCACTTGGCTGAGTTATCCTACGATGCCCTAACTTTATTGTTTTCAGTTATTTTACTTGCTTTAACTTCACTCTTTTCCTATTAACAATAAACTGGAGATAAGGAGAAAGCAGAAATTCTTCACCATTACTCACAAATCTCCTTGCTCTCCTGTGCCTATAAATTTTTACCTTTTTTGGTATTTGTTTAGAATTTTCCTGGAAACTGCTGCATTTCAAACACAGTCTCTGATGTAGTTGCTCAACAATTAATCAACTGTCAATATTTCTGTGAAGTCACTTTCAGACTTCTTCCAGCTTCCTCATGTTGTGGTCTGCTCCCTCTATCTCCCTCTTTTCCGCTCTCTCTCTCTGTCTGTCCATCTCTCTCCTTGCAGTGTTGTATTTGGTGTTAACTCTCTCTCTCTCACTATCTCCCTTGTACATTGGAAACTGAAAATGATTCTCTAGACTTGAAATGTTAGTTACTTTTCTCTCCACAAGTGCCGCCTGACCTGCTGAATTTCTAACTGATACCCCACACAGGGGAATAGCAGACTGGCACTCACTGTAAAACAGTCTAACTGAGGAGTCAGCTCTTTCAGCAAAGGGGGAGAGGGAGTTGGAGGAAATCATGTTTCCTTTTCCTGTTTTACAGAAGGATTGCACTATACTACACCAGAGAATACGGAGAGGATAGACACTGCAGATAGATGCTGACCATCACCCAAGGAACAACTGCACAACTGTGGGAAGACATCCAGTCCCTTCACAGCATTGCTCAACACAGAGAAGGTTGGTCAGTGAAACCATCATCTGGAAATCGGTCGGGTCAGGGGAGCTTTGACATATCATCAGATCTGAAACTGGTCAGTGGTGTGGAGTCTTCCATCAGAACCAACCTTTCTGAAGGTTCTGCTGTGGGTGATCGGTCAGGGTGAGGCTGGGAAGAAGCGTGAGCTCCCAGTGTGGTGAGAGTTTCAATCATTCATCCAGTCTCATGACCCACTGACTCATTCCTACAGGGGAGAGGCTGTTCAACAGTAAGGTGAATGAGGAGAGCTCCACAGTCTCCGAACGTTCTCTCAGTGACCAGGTGCATCTATTTTACAATCTGTTAGCAGAAAGGAAGCTACATGGAAGAGAAACCTTTCAAGTGTGAAGTGTGTGACCAAGGTTTTGCAAGATCAGCGACACTCACAAATCACCGACGTATTCACACTGGAGAGAAACCCTTTAAGTGTGAGGTGTGTAACAAGGGCTTTGCACAATTATCAGGCCTCGTGAATCACCGGGCAATCCACACGGGACAGAAACCCTTCACGTGTGAGGTATGTGACAAATCATTCTTGCAGTCATCAACCCTCCGCCGACACCAACGTAGTCACACTGGAGAGAAACCTTTCATGTGTGAGGTGTGTGAGAAATCATTCTCCCAGTCAGGGATCCTCCGCACACATCAACGCATCCACACAGGAGAGAAACTGTTCAAGTGTGAGGTGTGTGAAAAATCATTCTCAGACTCATCAAGACTCTTGCTGCACCACAGGATTCACACAGGAGAGAAACCATTTGTATGTGATGTGTGTGACAGATCATTCACACAGTCATCTACCCTCCATAAACACCAGCGCGTTCACACAGGGGAGAGACCGTTTACGTGTGAGGTGTGTAACAAATCATTCTCACGGTCACAAAACCTCCATGCACACCGACGTATTCACACAGGGGAGAAACCATTCAGGTGTGAGGTATGTCACCAGGATTTTGCACAATTGTCAGGCCTCGTGAATCATCGGCCTGTTCACACAGGAGAGAAGCCCTTCACATGCGAGGTATGCACTAAGTCATTCCCGCAGTCATCAACACTCCTCGTGCACCAACGCATTCACACCGGGGAGAAACCATTCAAGTGTGAGGTGTGTGAGAAAACATTCTCAAGGTCATCATACCTCCTGCTCCATCAGAGGGTTCACACCGGGGAGAAACCCTTCACATGTGAGGTATGTGATAAATCGTTTTCACAGTCATCGACCCTCCGCAAGCACCAACGTGTTCACACAAGGGAGAAACTGTTCAGGTGTTAGGTGTGGAACAAATCATTCTCAATATTATTAATACTCATGGGAAACATCATTCCCTTGTTGAACAAATTGTCCTCAAAGTCATGGAACCTACTTCTTCATTGTCAAGGGAGTAATTCTTGAATCTTGTAAGGTTTCTGATAAACCTTTTATGACTCTAACCCTCCAGAACACCACAGGCTGTACGCGGGGAGACACACTCTACTTGTGGCATTTGTGACATGGCTTTCACACAGTCAGTGTATATCCTTGCACATCGGTGCACTCAGATAGTGGAGAGGAAACAACTGTGCCAGGGGAGAACTGACACAGGGACCTGGCGTAGATTGTTATCATTCTGTTATCAGTGTGTAACAGTTTGTATCCAGAGAGTTAACACACACTGAACAATGCTGTACATAGATTGAGAAAGACAGTCTGAATATTGTTTTTTCTTGTGAACTTTTCAACCAGCTCCTGTTTGGGAGAGAGGAAAAGAGAAGGTAATGTCTGACCACAAGATAATTCAACACATCGACATTGATCCCCTCCAGAGTGGTTGCATAGGATGTTGCTTCATGTACAGAGATATCACTAGGAAGTGAAGGACAAGCAGATGTAAATCACCGATGTGCTGTCTGGAGCTGTACTGTCTCTGAAGGAAGTTAATGCTGGTACATATTGTGAAATATTCCAAATTCAGCAAGAAGCAGCAACATGACTTGGTCTGGAAATCATCAATTCAACCATTCATTGTTGAATATCTGAAAGTGCACTTCAGCCGTCACGCATTCCTGGCATTGAGATTGTGATCAGTGATAATTAGCTCAATTCATGATGAAAGAATTCGGACAATAATTGGGAAATTCAGCACCACATATCATTTCCACACTATCTCCTGTCAAGTAGGCTGAGATCATGGCAGAAATTGCCAAAGGAATTGTCAAAAATTGACTTGATCCAGTTGAGACGTATACAAGGCAATGTTAGAGAGGAGAAACACATCTCCTGATGGAATGGATAGTTGTCGAGTCCAACCTCACTTAGGAACTCTTGCAATAACGAAAAGACTGGAAGAAGTAACAGGAGTAAGTGACACCATCAAGTGAAACAAAAGTCCACGTCACTTTGATAAAGATACCAAATCAATGTCAGAGCTGACTGTGGGATAGCCAGTCAGAGTGCAAACATCAATTGCATTCAACAAATATCAGATCCTTTGGCAACTTAAAATCTGGAGAGAAATTGTCAGCTTGATCAGACATGGGGAAAGCAATCAGCTAGATCTATCATCACAACTATAGACATCTACACACAACCAGAAAGTCAGCCCTTCTACAGGAGACAACTGATGAGGCAGATCCAATTTCACCAACTGAGCAAAGAACAAAATGACTATCTGTCCCGGAGGACAATCATTCCCCCCAAAAATACAAAAGGTCAGCAGTGATAACTACCACGGCAACAACACTTGCAATGGCAATAATATTCTGCAAAGTTAATGACACCTCAGGAGCCAGCAGACACTGAATGAACAGCCAACAACAACACATATGAGTACAATAAGAAGACCGTAATACTTTAAAGATTGCATGAGTTTGGATGGACAAAACCAAAACAGACTAGAAAGAACAATTTGTTTTCATGTGATAATTTTCCTTATTGACTATATGTGTGCTGTAACTTGCAACCAATAGTCTGTGCAAATTGTTAACAATAGATTTATGAAATGGGGAATATTTGGATCAATACTTTTCACACGTTCGCTTGTCATGTTCATGTGACCTTGATGTCATTGGAAGTAAATGTTTGAGAGTGATCCAAGTTTAAACTCCATATGGAAAATTGAGAAGGGGCAGTTGGTGGGAACAGGAGTAGGGGCAGTGCTGATGACGATGGACAATGTTCTCTCAGGAAAGGAAGAGCCGACCAGCATCCAGCTCCATCTTGAGCTGAAACATGAACTCAGTTTCTCAACAGAGATGCTGCCTGACCTGCTGAAAAGTTCCAGCATTGATTTGTTTTCATTTTAATTTTTAAAGCACAGATAAAGACCATTCAACCCAGTTGCTTTCTCCCTCCCTACTTTATTTCACCCTTTTATTCCTTTTTCCCTCATGGACTTACCAAGATTCCTGTCAAATGCACCTGAGCTATTTCCTCAACCATTCCCTGTGGCAGCAAGCTCAACATTCTCATCCTTCTGTACCCGAAACATTAACTCTGTTTTTTCCTTCATAGATGCTGCCAGACCTGCTGAGCTTTTCCAGCAATTTCTGTTTTGTTTCTAGAGATTACAATGTCTGGTAAACGCCAGAAGATCATGGGATCCTAGGGCTGTCCATAGGAATGCCCATCATTGATTAGGTGTCCCACAAGATTGGGTGTATGGATTAAGGGTGAAGGACAGTGACTACAACAGAAAATGCATAAAATGCTGTATTTCACTGTAAAAAGCAGAGTGTGTCATTGATCTCCCTTCCGATCTGAGCCAAAGATTGTTTTCTCATGTCGGGGCCAGATTCAGGGAATATCCTTTGGCCCCCTCCCTCCAGTAACAGGTTTTTGCTTGAATAAACATCTCCACTTGCCTGAATCCTGCCTGTCTCCTGAGTTTTTGTCTCCAGTTTGGAGGATACACTCTGACATCATCCCTCAGCCTAGTCATTTCTGAGGAAAGAGTGCTGGACTGTTCAGTCTTTTTTACAGTTACAATCTCTTAATGCTCATCGTAATCAATGGTATTTACATCTTCTCCACTTCCTTGATGTCCTTATCAATATGAAGATCAGAACTGTGCACAAAGGTCAGAGTATGGCCCGCACGAGGTTCGAGACAATTTCAACAGAATTATTCTGCTTTTCAAGTTTATTCCTGGTTAAATGGACCCCAGTGCAGTTATGTAATATTTTGTTTTTTCAAGTGGTCTTTTCTAAAATTATGGTGTAATTAACAAGGCTTAACTTCTTAAATTGTGCTGTATAAAGCTTATTGGTGTAAAGTCTTAATTTGCATGATATAATATGGTGTAATTGAATGTAATGTAAACTTTAAGAAATAAATGCAGGTGTGAATCAAGGTTTATAGGTGGAACACATGTTGCACCTTTGCCTTCCTGTAAGTCGATCGTTCAGCATAAAATAGAAACCATGACTGTTTGGCCAGAAGAATGATCTCCAGATCAGCGTTGAATCAAGAGAGGACAGGTTTTGGGGACATTATTGTTGGGAAGCTGCCTCCCTCATTCTTCTAAACTCCAGTGAATACAATCCTAACTGACTCAATCACTCCTCATATGTCAGTCCTGCAGCCTAGGAATCAATGTGGTAAACCTTTGTTGCACCACCTCTATGGCAAGAATTTTGTTCCTCAGATAAGGAGACCAAAGCTGCATGCATTATTCCAGGTGTGGCCTCCTCTCACCTTAAAAATATGCCCCCTAGTATTGAAATCCCCCACCTTAGGGAAACAAAACTTGCCGTTATGTTATCTATGACCCCTGATGACTTTATAAAGCTCTCTAAGGACACCTTTGACCTCCTATGAATATACAGGTCTCATTGAACATGCCCTTCTCTCGATTTCCAGGCATCCAAATAATATCTCTTCCTACTTTTGCTACCAAAGTGATAACCTCACATTTATCAACATTAAATGCATCTGCCATGCATTTGGCCATTCACTCAGCCTGTTCAAATCACAATGCAACATCTTCATATCTTCTCAAAGCTCAGCCTTCCATCCAGCTTTGTATCATCTGCAAATTCTGCTACATTTAGTTTCCACATCTAAATAATTAACATATATCATGAATATCTGCGGTCTGAGTACATGATCCCTGCTGTACCCAATTAGTCACTGCCTGCCATTCAGAAAAGGATCCATATATTCCTACTCTTTGTTTCCTGTCTGGCAGACAATTTTCTATCTATGTCAGTACAGAACGCCTAATCCTAATACCTTTAATTTTTACTGATTACTATCTTATATGAGACTTCATTGAAAGCCGACTGAAAGTCCAAATGAAGCACATCCACTGGCTCCCTCTGATC